CTGGGATTGCTTTCTCGCAGGGAGTCGAGAAAGGATCTCTGGCCGAGGTTGATAACATTACTGCTACTTTACTTTATGCTACTCTACTCCCTCCTGTTGCTGCAAGATGGTGGTTTCCAGAAGATGCTAGTCTTTGATAGGCTAGGCTTTCCCCTTCCCTTCTGGCATTCTGCAGTTTAGTCCACAGATACAGCCCATCTCCTTTGATACAGATGCATACTTGGTTTAGATTTGATGTAAGTCTTGCGAGTACTTTGGATGAGTACTCATGGTTGCTTTGCTACCTCTTTTTCCCCTATACCCGGTTGTTGCGACCAGATGACGGATCCCAGGAGCCAGACAACGCCACTGAAGACTACTACTACCCGGAGGATGCCTACTACTACGTGAAGACCGCAGACGACTAGGAGTAGTTAGGAGGCTCCCATGCAGGAGGCCTTGCCTTTTCAATTGTTGTTGCTTTTGTGCTAGCCTTCTTAAGGCACGCTTGTCTAACTTATGTCTGTACTCAGATATTGTTGCTTCCACTGACTCTTGTGTATTCGAGCTTATGTATTCGAGCCCTCGAGGCCCTTGGCTTGTAATATAAAGCTTGTATTATTTTAATTTGTGTCTAGAGTTGTGTTGTGATATCTTCCCGTGAGTCCTTGATCTTGATCGTACACATTTGCGTGTATGATTAGTGTACGATTGAATCGAGGGCGTCACAGGAGGCACATACCCCCGGGGGGTTCCGGTAACCCCCCGGTACTCCGGTAATTGCCTGAACTCACCCGGAACCATTCCGATGTCCAAACATAGCCTTCCAATATATCGATCTTTATGTCTCGACCATTTCGAGACTCCTCGTCATGTCCGTGATCATATCCGGGACTCCGAACTACCTTCGGTATATCAAAACACATAAATTCATAATACCGATCGTCACCGAACGTTAAGCGTGCGGACCCTACGGGTTCGAGAACTATGTAGACATGACCGAGACTCGTCTCTGGTCAATAACCAATAGCGGAACCTAGATGCTCATATTGGTACCTACATATTCTACGAAGATCTTTATCGGTCAAACCGCATAACAACATACATTGTTCCCTTTGTCACCGGTATGTTACTTGCCCGAGATTCGATCGTCGGCATCTCAACACCTAGTTCAATTTCGTTACCGGCAAGTCTCTTTACTCGTTCTGTAATGCAACATCCCGTAACTAACTCATTAGTCACATTGCTTGCAAGGCTTATAGTGATGTACATTACCGAGAGGCCCCAGAGATACCTCTCCGATACACGGAGTGATAAATCCTAATCTCGATCTATGCCAACTCAACAAACACCATCGGAGACGCCTATAGAGCATCTTTATGGTCACCCAGTTATGATGTGACGTTTGATAGCACACTAAGTGTTCCTCCGGTATTCAGGAGTTGCATAATCTCATAGTCATAGGAACATGTATAAGTTATGGAGAAAGCAATAGCAGTAAACTAAACGATCAAAGTGCTAAGCTAACGGATGGGTTAAGTCAATCACATCATTCTCTAATGATGTGATCCTGTTCATCAAATTACAGCTCTTTGTCCATGGCTAGGAAACTTAACCATCTTTGATTAACGAGCTAGTCAAGTAGAGGCATACTAGTGACACTCTGTTTGTCCATGTATTCACACATGTACTAAGTTTCCAGTTAATACAATTCTAACATGAATAATAAACATTCATCATGATATAAGGAAATATAAATAACAAATTTATTATTGCCTCTAGGGCATATTTCCTTCAGTTCGGCACTTTGATCGGTTGGATCATGAAGATGTTCGACTATATCAACCGTGTTACTAAACGCTTCCGCTTTCGGTCTACGATGGTACATGGACACACTCTCCTGTCTTGTTGACATGCATCTCCTAGATAGATCTTGCGTGATCGTAGGATTTTTTTTGAAATACTGCATTCCCCAACACATCCTCCATAGGCTACTATTTATCCGCAGTCGACCTCCTCCAGCCTCCACCTATGACTATTCATCCACGACGTCTCCCTCCTGCCTCCACCAACTACTATTCAACCAGCCCTCTCCACGGGGTCCTGTTCAACCACCCCTCCACGGGCTACTGTTCATCCAGCCATCCACCGGCTACTATTCAACCAGCCCTCCACCAGCTGCTGTTCATCTAGCCCTCCACGGGGTTCGGTTCATCCACCCCCAACCAGCATGATCGGGGTCTTGTTCATCCAGCGGCAACGACCTCTGCTACCACATGGTCCTGTTCATCCAACCCCCACCGGGAACCGTTCATCCAACCCCCAACAACGCTCATTGTTCATCAAGAGGCAGCAGGTTCGACCGGCTTCAGTTAGCAGCAGTAGCGAAGGAATCTCTCGATCGGGTTCAGTTAACAACCAGATCGATCGATCGCTCGGGTTCAGTAACGCGTAGGCTGTAGTGCAACCGCTCGGGTTCAGTAGGCGAATGCCTCGCTCGGGTTCAGTTAGAGCCCAACGCCTCGCACCCACGCGCGTGCATGTACGAGAGAAACGCGCATCGCTCGGCCCCGACCACCCACCGTAACCGGAACTCCCCGATATTTTCCTCGCCCTCGCTTCTACCACGGTTTTTTCCGTCATGGACGGCTCAAAGAATGTCATGCAGCTGCGTCTCCGGCCCGCCCAGGATGAAAATCCCATTTTCTGTCATGATTTTGTCATAGAAGTAGGATCCCACCACATCTATGATGATACCGGGTTTTGTCACAATTATTGTCATAGAAGTGTCATAAGCATGACAAATTTTTTTTCATTCGGTCCAAAATGTCACGGATGTGTCTTTTTTTATAGTGCTTTTAGCGACAGATGCTGGTCTGCCCTTGGTTTCAGTTGGGCGATCGATGATAACTGGCTACGGATAATTCACTCTGGTCGGGTGCTTTGGGCCCATCCCATGTTCATGGAAATATTTGTGACGTTTGGAGCATTTGGAAGAACATAAGAACAAGATCTTTAGAAGTACCCAGCCATCCTTTGAATCATGGAGAGAGAGGTTCAAAACCGACTTTGGTCTATTGGTCCATATGGTTAACCCCTCCCTCGAAGACTTTGTAACTAATTTTATCAACACTATTGTCTAAAAAATTGTAACTAATATCGTTAATTGCCCTCTTCCCCTCTATCCTATCTAATCCAATCACTCCCATGTTATGGTGGATGGATGATAGCTAGTTAGGAGGGTATCATGCATGACTATGTAAACCCTTGTGTTACTACAATTAATATACGTTAATAGGAGCCTTTCCTACTGTCTTGATCTTTAAAAAAATGATGTCATCAATACCCCCCCATGCATATGCTAATCACTATTCATATTCACCATGGGATTCGATTTTAAATGATGAAGAGTCAATCAAAGTGTTCACATTGGCTACTAAAGTCAAAGATGCGAAGCAATCAATCGTGTCAAATCTGAAGAAAAGAAGTTGAGAGTGCACAAGATCAAGAAAGATTTGCCATTGCTCAAAGCAGAATCACAATTGAGGCATCCACTCAACTTATCGAGTTGGCAAAATAAGAACTTGTAAAGCCTCAAGAGTTTTAAAAAGGAACATGGCATGGGTTAAGCGCTCAAAATATAAATGATGTGCAAGCTTCTATTGCAAGAGGTGCAACAAAGGTGACGAAAATGAAGAATGAATCTAGTAAGTGATTAAGCCAAGGGTTTGCATCTACCCAACAAAATCTTCGGTTGGCAAATCATTCGTATTCTTCAGCCATGCCATTGATGCCTTTGCTACGGAGTTCATCTCAGGGATGGTTGCTTACACTTTATGGGCTTATTTTGATCAATGGATGCAATACAGTTTCTTACCGAAAGAGAGTGGTGTTTTGGCTCCTAGGTGTAGATGCACCTATTATGAAATATGTATAAAAACACATTCAAAATGTAGAAAAAAATCAAGAAAAAATCCCGTGTGTACATCCGGACCCTATGTTCGCACACAAAATTTCGGTGAAAAGGACATTTTTTGTGGCATGTATAAAAACGATAAAAAAATGCCTCGTGAATAAATTTGTCTTTTTTACACAAGCCATAAAAAATGTCATGTTTCATCGAAACTTGGTGTGCACACATATAATGTCCGGATTTACACGCGGGATTTTTCTCGAAATTTTTGAACTTTTTAAAATGTGTATTTAGACAATGGGTGCATATATACCTATGAGCCAAAGTGAATTTCTCTTAAACGATGAGTAATATTTTCTTCATGAAGCTCAAATAGTTGTATGTAGCACTTAAATACTTCTAAATACATCTATTTCAGTGTCAACTAATTTCGGACAGTACAAAAATAAAAAGCAAGCGTAGTCTATTTAGTAGAAAATCTTTTTTTTCGGAAAAAACTTTCAATCTATCCATCGTCAATCATGGTAGTACAGCGAACACTTGAAATAATAAAAATTACATCCAGATCTATAGACCACCTAGCGACAACTACAAGCACTGAAGCGAGCCGAAGGCACACCGCTGTCATAGCCCCTCCCTTGCCGGAGCCGATCAAACTTTATTTTAGTAGACAGTCGGGAAGTCATCATACTAAGAACCCATAGAACAAACGCACCAGGATAGCAACCGCGTAGACGAGGAGTGTAGATGAGAAAGATCCGACCCGAAGATACACAAACGAAGACCAGGGAGATTTTGAACGCCACTTGCTCGGGATCGATCAATCAATCAGAGTAGACTAGGCCGCCTAGAGCGTAATAACAACCCCACCGGTTTCAATTTCAATTTCAATCACGGCCCAGCAAAGTCGGCGAGAACGCCGCACCCGCTTTCAAATCCTCTCCCCCCTTCGTCGTCCCATCGTTCCCCTTCCCCTTCCTCCTCCCGCTCCTCCCCTTTCAAACCCCTCTGCCCCCTCCCTATAAACCTAGGCGAGGGAGCGCCCGCAGACTACTCCCAGAGCCCAGATCTATCCAGCCCCTCTTCGATCGCCCCGGCGTCCTCGTCCATGGCGGCTCGGCCGTCGCCGCCGCCGCCCACGCGCGCCTCCTGCGGCTCCTTTCTCCAGGAACTGCAGGTACGGTTCCGCCTCTCCCGTGATTCCAGTTCGTGGCGCACGACTTTGGTGCTAGTTTCATGGGGAAAGGGCCGGCCGGGCCTTCGTTTCGTCGCGTTCGTCATGCGTCGTTTGCCGGAAAGTTGTGGTGCCGGTGGTCGTAGGCGCCGCGGAAGGGAGTCGGAGCACTTGCTTGAAGCGGGTGGACGCGTGCTGGGGGTTCAAAGTGTACGTCTGCGCGAGGGATCGGGCTCCTATTGTCGTGTCTTGCGGTTCCTAACTGCGTGCTGGAATCGGGGGTAGATTTTGTGTTTCTTGATGCTTTCTTGGTTGAATGAAAGATCTTGGTTATTTCGCTGCTTAGTCCCCGAATTCGGCTGTGACCTGCGCATCTCTTGATGTTTTCTTGGTCGTGGTTATTTTGCTGCCTAATCCCCGAATTCGGTTGTCACATTGCATCTCTCGGTGCTTACTGATGGTTGTTGTACTGCTTGTGGTAGTTAATTGGTCCGTGATTATGATTCTGGTAAGCCGTTGCCCATAATTTCCCCCTTTTTTCATGTTTGCCTCATTGTCTGCTGGTGCTAACTGCTATGTATCCAGTTTTCTTTTATCCTTTTGTGTCTTTAAGCATCACTTCTCATGTAATTGCCGTATGTGCTGTCAGCCTTTTGCTGAAGATTGCATTTGTTGATTCAGGAACTATGGGGAGAGATAGGCCCGGATGAACTGGAAAGAGATAGGATGATCTTGCAGTTGGAGGAGGATTGCCTCAATGTTTACAGGAAGAAAGTGGAACAAACTAGAAAGCAAAAGGCAGACCTGCTTCAAGTGATGTCCTTGGGTGAAGCTGAGATAGAAAAGATACTTTCTGCTCTGCGAGAGCGTGAATCCTTTTCTAGGGTCAGTAGTTTTTTTTCCTGATCCTTTCAAAAAATATATTATTTCCTGATCCCTTCCATGCCTTTTGCTGATATCATGCTCCAGTCTTATGTGTTATGTTTGTCTTTTGTTCTTTAGGTAGAGAAGCTTGGGGGTACATTAATCGAACAACTTGCAAAACTAGAGCCAGTTCTGGACGATCTGAGACGCCGGAGAGATGAGCGCATAAATGAATTTTTGGCTGTTCAGCTGCATATAGTTCGTCTACAAGCCGAGATTTCAGCAACTATAAATCATGGGGATCCTGCAGCTCCTTTAGTGGATGAGACTGACCTATCTACAGGAAGACTAGCTGAACTGAAAACCCAGCTTAATGAGCTCCAGACCGAAAAGGTTAGGCACCTGGTATAAGCCTATCATTCCTGCATCTTTCAACTCTGACGCTTAAATTGTTTGTCCTGATGTTTTCAGAATCTCAGACTGCAAAAGATTGATAGTCAGATCAAGTGTATTAATGAAATGTGCAACATGATGTCTCTTGATCTTAAGAAGACATTATATGAAGTTCATCCCAGCTTTGTCGAATTGGAAAGAATCAAATCCATGAGTATAAGTGATAGCACACTTGATAGGCTTGCAGGAAAACTTCATGCACTAAATCAAGAAAAGAAACAGAGGCTCCGGAAGGTACTGATGTTTCTGTTCATGCTAGTCATTTAACAAAAGTATGGGTCTGTGTGTATCTTTAATGTATTCACCTTAGTGTATATTTCTTTTACTGTTGACCTCCAGTATGGGCCTGGCATTGTGTTTGAGTAGTTGACCTGGCAAATCATATCTTGATTTATTTTCTGAACTGTTGAATATGTTGTCTTGGTTGTCACTCTTATGATTCGATGTACCTGTACATTTAATAAAAGCACGAGTCTGCATGTATCTTACTTCAATGCTTTCACCTTGGCGTATATTGTTTTACTATTTGACCTCCAGTATGCGAGTCATTGAATTGGAGACTTGACATTATGGTGCGATTCAGCTTAGCAAAGCGTATCATGATTTTTTTCTAAACCTTTTGTAGTATAATTTCTTTGGTTTTATGTCATTCCATTATGATTCACATACACTATACATGACATGGTTTGACATTTGTCTATTTGTTTATTGGGCAGTGCTCAGAATTCTTCAATCAATCATACATTCATACTGTAATTGCCATCCTAATTCTGTTTAATTCTTGACCAGTGTATGGTTTGTGGACTTGTGCACTTTAGCATGCTTCCTTTCAACTTCTGCTAAATATTGTTCCATATTTCTTTGTATCAAAGATCCACATTGTTGAAATTTGCATTATCTATTGCAGCTACAAGATCTTGGAAGCACACTCATTGAGTTATGGAGTCTAATGGACACACCATTAGATGAACAGAAATGCTTTGATCATGTTACCTCTTTGATTTCAGTCTCACCCAATACAGTGATGCCCCAAGGATGCCTTGCACATGACCTTATTGAGAAGGTTACAATTGATTGTCTATTTATTTACTTATTTTCTTTGGATTTTCATCAAGCTAATTTCTTCAAATTATACTAATTTTCATGTAAAATTCCTTTCCCCCTCGTTTAGGTAGAGGTTGAGGTCAAGAGACTGAAGCATTTGAAAGCTAGCAAAATGAAAGAGCTTGTCTTAAAGAAAATGACTCAGCTTGAAGAAATCTACAGAAGTGTTCACATGCATATTGACAGCGATCATGAGTGGCAGATTCTCACTGAACTTATTGATTCTGGTTCACTTCTTTCCCATGCCTTTCATCCTGAAGATACATAACTGAAGTTATTTTATACAGTTTGTTTCCATTAAGAACTACCTGATGCATGATTTAACTGGTGCTCCTTAGTTATATAACGTTGCCGTTTCTGTCTCACCTTAAAATTCTGTGAATTTCTTAGTCAAATGCAATGGTAGGTTCTGAACTGTCTTTCAACTTTATGTCTTCTAGTGTCAGCTTGAATACTTAGGCAGATCAATTTTGACACAAAAATTGAATAAGCTCTTATGAAAACTAAAAGAGCATGCAGTAATGGGCGGTTGGATGAGAAAATTTCTGTTCTGTTGAAATGCTGGTTTCTTAATATTGTTCTGTTTAAAAGCTGTCTTTGTTTCTTACAGTAAGTTTTTTGAGCTACTGTTCTGGATTTGTTGGCACATCAGACACAAGTTTTAAACTTGGAGCACTCAGTTCCTTTACTTTTAACATATCCATCATAGCAACTTATTTCCCTTGGCAATTGACCCAGCACAATTGCATATTTCTACTAGACTCGAAGCATCAAGGCATAAAAGTTGTGGAGCATTAATCATGATAAAAAAACATCTCCAGAAACAACTGGATTTAATCATCAAAATCATCTATGGTAATGTGGAAAATATCATTGACATACAAAAAGTCTAAAATAAATGGCAATATTTAATTGCATAAGTAAAGGCTGATAATACTCAAACATGAGGTTATTTTTAGAAGTACTCAGTTGTTTTTACTAAGTATCTCAACGGTAGTTTCCTAAAGGAAGACATTTTACTGTTACCATATTGCTCTTAGTTTATTCCCTAATGGCACAGTACTGTTATCTGTTGAATTTCACAATGTATAAACTTTGTTTTGTAGGTAGAGCAGATCTCTCAGAGCTGCTTACAGATATGGATGACCGAATTGCAGAAGCAAGAGATCTTGCTCTAAGCAGAAAGGACATTCTAGAAAAGGTGGAAAAATGGACATCAGCAACTGAAGAGGAGGGTTGGCTCGGTGAATATGAGGGGGTAAATTGATTTTTTTTCTTCTTATCTTTAAATGCTCTTTGGTCTATACTTGTTCCAATGGTTAATCGACCAGCTAGTTATCTTTAGTCAAAGTATTACATTGTTGCATCTGCCATAGACCATCTATATGGTTTCAATTTCAGGATCAAAATCGCTATAATGCTGGTCGAGGAGCTCACATAAATCTCAAGCGCGCGGAGAAGGCAAGGGTATTGGTCAGCAAAATTCCATGTATGCCTCTATACTTTTGTGTGTGTTTCTACTGGAAATTTCTATTGTTTGGATGAGCCTTCACGTGATTATTATTTTGGATTACTTGGACAATAGCTGTGAGTATGTTCAATTTTACCTGCTGCTTAATTTGTTCTAGATGAATACTATAGTTGGACATAACTGAAGTTTTATTTAAAATATTCAACAATGTGAAATCTTCTGGAAACATGCTTATGGGTCATTTGATGCACCTGTTAGTCAGGTACACCCAGTTAGTTAAATTTACAATGAGCATGGCAGTTATAACATTTTAACTATCTGTGACACTCATTTCCTTCTGTTTTCTGGTGTTTGTCCTACTGATGTTTAGATTTTCTGTTTCTCACTTTCAATATTGTTTTACCATATAGCCCTGCTGGAAAATTTGACTACTAAAGTTAAAGCTTGGGAAAAGGAGAAGGGCATGTCATTTATGTATGATAAGGCAAGTTCAGTTACCAAATGCTCTTTTCAAACGAATATGTTTCAATTTGCCAATTTCATCTTAATTATGTAACATTCGCCGCATTCATTTACAGAAGAGGCTTTTGGATAGCTTAGAAAAATACACCTCTGAAAGGCAACAAAAGGAAGAGGAAAAACGTCGATCACGGGTTAGTTCTCCATGCCTCTTGTTCCATTCAATCCTTGTTCATCAGTGTGTTCGGCCTCTTTTTTTAGCTTCTTGAGAACATTTCTGGAGATATATATTCTAACCTTGCTCAGTATCATGAATATAAATGATAAAACAAGTAATAGCTGTTTCAAGTATTTTCCATGCCTCTTGTTCCACTCAATCAGTCACATTCATCAGTGTGTGTGTCTGGTGTCTTTGTAGTTTCCCACTTTAGCTTTCTTGAAATCTTCTCTGATAACATTTCTGGAGATATATATTCAAATCTGGCTCAGTATCATGAGCCATTCCCTCGTTAGGATAGTTCAAATTGCCTCTTACAATTCTCATTCACCATATCACATGTTAGATGTTTTGTTCTCTTCTCCACATCAATTATTTGGGGAGTTGATAGGAGAGTTAGGATGGGTGTGTTACCTTGTAGGTTGGCTTTCCTGCTACAAGTTTCAACTCTAATGGGTTGCTGAAATGTTTTAACTATCTTCAGGAACTTAAGAAACTACAAGAACAGTTTGCAGCAGAACAAGGTGCATCATATGGAGCAAAGCCTAGTCCTATGCGCCCGCTTTCGGCAAGGAAACCTCTTGGGCAGAGTACTAATGTCAACATTGTTGGTGGAACTCCTAACAGCCGTCGTGTGTCTACCCCAGTTTCACGCAAGGGAGGCTCGTCTTGTGGAAAAATGAAGGATACTGGCAAGACAGCTGCTTCTATACCGGCAAATTATGTTTCTCTTCCCAAGGATTGCTCAGACAATTCTTACATGTGAAAATGTAACCACCTCCGACTAGTTGGGGCCTCTAGCCTGTACTTTCATACGTTTGGTCTCATATAGGTTAACTGCTTGTTAATGCTTGAATTGTTCGAATCGTTGATCTTAACTCTGATGCAAAATATGTTTCTGCTCCTGCACAATGCTTGTGCTCCTTTTCCTGCCTATTTGTGCTGCAATTCAGCTTCTGCAGAATAGAAACTCGATCATTATCTCAGATATTTGCGCTGAAGAAGCTTTCAGTTTTATATTTTGACCTCTGGTTATCTTTTTGTGAAAAAAAGCACAGTTCTTGCTGGTCCAGTCAGGGTTATGATTCAGCAGTTTGTTGCCTTATCGAGAAGCCCATCTCATGTTTAGAAACTCTTACCTTCTAGTGTCAATGTTTAATGACTAGAAGTCATCAACAAAACCGTTGGGAAATTTTGGAAATATGTCAGTGTGAATTTGAAATTTGCCATCACATGACCGAACATTCTTAGATTCCTTCTGAGCCGTAGCTCTTTTCCCTCATGCGCAGCCTTCATTAGTAGTTGTTGCCTGTGCTCAGTTCCAGTATAATGATCTCACTCAAGCACACTAAATGTTAGTGTGCCTTGCCTGGTCATTCCATTGATTCTAAAGGCAGCTTTGGTGCTTCATGTCTCCTCTCCTCTTTACCTCTTGTTGCTAATCCAGCAGGTAAAGTCACAGTAAATCTCCAGCTAAAGAATTCAGTGACATATGCCCCCAAGATCTGATCCCAAAGTAGCATTGATCAAGTTGGCATTTTAGTTGAAGTTATGGGTGTTCCTTCAGTGCGGAACTTAATAAAATGCGACCTTGGAACCAAGAATAGTGCTCATTGTTAATTACTACCACTAGGTCTCTGTTATTATCCTCGAGCACAGCAGTAGCCAGGTGGTTTTCAACTTAGAAAGTGGAAGAAATTACTCCTTCCCTCGCAAGACGACGCGCCTGAACTACCTACTG